ATACACCCCCATCTGCTTGGAATATACTATAGGATACTAGACTTTTTAATTATATCCTGATACTGATAATAATATGATAAAATATCATGTATCATAGTCATAATTTTATTATATGACTCAGACTATCAAATGTGGGATTAGGGAAGATACTAAAATGTGCAGTATATAATTCAGATCTTTTCTAACTGACTATGTGCACAATAGGGTATTATTATCCCAACATGGTATTTCCAATAATATGCCACCACTGCATGGCCAAGAACATGCTTTCGAATGTGCACCAGCAGGTACTCACACTATTTCTGTTAATTTTTTTTCTCTTCTACAGAAAACCCACTACCAGAGATGGAACAAGTGCTTGAAAAAAATGTTAAATCAAATAAAATTATTTAATCTAGCATACATACTGAATTAGATTTAATAGAAACATGGAAGTTAGTTTTCTCTGCAAGCAGCAGTATTTCCACAAATTCAGACTGCAAAATCATCAGTGTTTACAAATTTCTAATTTACTAATTTAAATTGTTTGTATAGGAATTCTCAAGGTTTCACAAGGAAATTGCACCTATGTTTGATGGTCTTCAAAACAACAGGGTTGAATGGAAAACACGAGCTGATGAATATGAAGAGAAGGTTAAAGTTATTGAGGAACAAAAGAAAAAGGAAGAAGAAGCAGCTGCCAAAAAAGGTTAAGTAACTTCTAAGGTTTTCATTTATATATATTTGTAAGGCAGTCAACATATTCTCCCTCTCTGTCAAATTCACACATGCAGTGCACTTGTGCAATATTCTATTAAACGTTATGCTAATGGTACGCAAGTTCTGAATTAGCCAAATTAGTGTTATCTTTACTTGGAAGAGGAGTAACCTTTAAAGATTACACAAATCCAGTACACTGACCTCATTTTCTAAACTGCAGAATTATAGAAAATATGACCATCACAAAAGTGAAAGGAAAGTAAAATTTCTTCTGTCTTAAGACTTAAAACTGAATGTAATTAAACATTTATCTGTAAATGCTGCAATCACCTGAAATAATAGAGATGTATCAAAATTCTGTGTGGCATCAGCCCCAAATGTATTCAGCTGCTTTGTTTAAGTTGAAAATGAAAAGCATAAGGAAAAGAGATGGGAATGGATAGTGTGCATTTGGAACATAAAAAAAGCAGCGCAAATCCCCACTTCTCTTCCAAGTTCAAGATAAAGCTTTTGGCTCTAGTTCCCTACCATCAGTTTCTTGGCTGAAATACACTCTCTCATATTACAAATTTAACACTAACCTTCCTAAGACAGCCCAAGTCCTAAAACTGAAAGTACGGTTCTGCCTCTGATAACCTAGAAGAGAATCTTATTTTATAGAAACTGAGAACCTATCACTCAAGTGTAAGAGTGAAATGAGTCAGTTATTTTTACTCTGTATTGCATGTGGAACAGCAGGTCAACAGCTCTGCCAATCAGCTGAGATGACTGAAAAGGTTCAGAGATTAAAACAAAAACACGTGTGATTACTACAGAATGATTTATTGTCAGCTGGTTCGAAGAAGAAAAGTTAGTTTGCTCTAAGCGTGTGTTTCACTTCTTTAAAACATAAAATAGTACTGAATAATTTATTTGTTAATCGGTGTCTGTGGGAAATAGGTGAGTATTCTTCACATTTCACACAAAAGAGAGGCTACTCGAGGCCACCCACCAAGTTACTGTCAGAGTGTGAAGTGGAACTAGAGAGTTATTGGCTCGTAAAAGAAATTATACTAGGCTAATATAAAAAAAAAATGTTGTTGCAAAGTGGTTAAAAGAGTACTGTAAGTTACATAATTTAATCAAAGCAGATTTTTGAAAGAGAAGCTTAATAAAATGAGTCAAACATTATTATCATAATAAAATTACAAGAAATATTTTGGCCTGCTCACACTGTGATACCACTCACACACACTTTCACAGAAATTATGCCCACCCCATTGTCTCCCAAATTTATTTTTAAAGGCACTTTTTTGCAAGTAATCATATAATCTTATTTATTTAAGATTAATTTATTGCTGAGATTTAGCGGGTTGTGAGTATGAACAAAGTACTCTTTCCTTACACTGGAATGTAAGCATCTGAACTTCACAGAAATAGCAGCAAGACAAAACAAATCAACCCAGGACCTACACACAAACCTCCTTATACATTTGCTGTCTTGGCAAAGAGTATAGTTACTAAAGTCTGATCCTATGCCCTTAAGCATAAGGTTCTTAAGTAAAAATTAAATTATACATTTAGGAAGACTCAGGTATTTCTACTCCCACTTGAAGTTAGGACCATCCTACATCATTGGTATTTTGGAATCACTTAGTCACTGGCTTAAGGAAAGAAGTGATTTCCCACAAGGAACCTTACACAGGCAAGCATGGACAGACTGATTTGCAGGAGCTAAGGATCTGACCTTTGCATTTGGTATCACAAAATGTAAGTGAATTATTTTGCATCTTTTTAAATGTGCACTGGAATGAGGCCATGCACATTTGTGAAGAACAGATCTGACACTCTCAAATCAAGGCCATGTAAATATATGGGTTTGTTAAGTCAGTTCATACAAACAATAATTTGATACATGCTGAACCACAGTGGTTTCTCTAGATCACACTGACCTGGGTATTCTTCGCCATTCAGTAGACAGAAAACAAAATAAACATATTTGCTGAACCACTACAGTGGAAAGTTCAGAACGGAAACTAAAACAGAATACAGTATTAAACTAAGAAAATAAAATACATAGTTAGTAACATAGTGTTGATTATATCCACAAATTACAGAGGGTAGGACACTGATTATGTGACGTGTTTCAATGCAGGTGGAAAGGGTCGAAAATGACCTAGTAACATGGTGATCCACAGCTTTCAAATGTAAGTTTTAATTCTAATATTGGTATCTTACCTTAAATGAACCTGAAAACGCAATTTATTACATTGAAAGAATCTTAACTATGACCAGTGAACATCTGTGGAATCATTTGAGAGAGACAGTAACAGAATCAGTAGCTATAGATAAGAAACGTAAAAAGCGTCTCTCAATTTGTAATTACAAAGGGATTCATGTAGGGTTGGATAAAAGCTTATGCAATTAGGTCACATTAAAGTTTTTGTATCATCTGCTTCAAAAATAGATTCACAGATTAGATTGATCCAACAGTTTATTTCTTTTGCATGGCTTGCATACCTCAGTTTTGTATGTGTGGGACAGAGTTATATATATTTAACAACCGGAGCTTTCCAGTAAGAGTGGTTCAGTGTGTTTGGTCCTTTGAGAAATGTTGGTATCAACTGCTACACTATATACACATAGGTATATATAGCATGTGTTATTGTTTCTTATTCCATTTTCCCAGACAAATAGTGAAAGCACATTCAATTTTCAGAAGGTCAAAACACACATCATATGCATATCATAAAAGCAACGCCTTTTTAACAAGAAATTAGAGCAGCTAAAATTAACAGAAAATATTCACTTTCCTTCTCTGTTTTTTAGCTGAAAATGCAGCTGGAGGTGGTGGCGGAAGTGGAGAGGACGGAAAATCCAAAACATGTATAATTTTGTAGTTCTTTGTCTCAGACACTGTTTCTGCTACAGAAAAGACATCTACAAAGAACTTCAATGAGCCCCAGTGGATTTCTGCTTCGCATAGAATAGTATAGATCAATCTCTTAACAATTCTCTTAAACACTTGCCATTTGCTGGAAATAATTTTTAATGGAGTAAACAAACAGTTACAATTAAAAACTGGAAAATTAAAAGAAAAAATAATGGTGCAAAATGAGTTAACTGTGTGCTCTAGATATTTTTTCATGTCACTCAATTTATATACAGTATTTTTATTAAAATATGTAACTTCTGCACTGTCCAGAAAAAAAAAAATTCTGACAGATCTTATATGAAATTACTATATGAAATCTAACATGTACAATTCAAACAAAAAATTGCAATTTTCGTAACTTGTATATTTAGATTTTTATATTATGTGTATTTCCTTAATCTGGAATTGTCCTTTTCCTTCATTCTCAATACTATATGAAGTTCTAGAGTAAACATCTCCTTCACTTTAGGAATGCTCAACGCAATTCCCTGGCTCACATGTATCAAAAGCAGGTCTGTGGTACACAGTATTTTTTCAAAACTACTAAGGATAAACCTGTAAATCGTAGCCATAGCTCAGAGAAACCACTCTTTTGCCCATGTGCAAATGGCCCTACCCACAGTTCCTAAACTGACCACCTTTTATTGTAAAAATCTAAAAAGGCAGACCGTAAACATCACACTTTGCATACAAGTAAGAGTTTACTAAGATACCTATACCAGTATATCTACAGCAGGATCTACATTCAAAGGCATTTTAAAAGGCTCATGTACTTCCAATGCACCTTTTTTAAAATGCAGTAAATGACAGTATTTGAAAACCAATGAACTGCCACCAATTTAACCTTGGGAGGGAGAGGACAGCAGAAGTAGAGCACATCAGAATTCACACTACCTCCCTTTCTACAACCAAGACGACAGACTGCACACAAACTAGCTCTTCATAAACAACGATCTCCCTACCAAAACCTTCTGTTCTTGAGAATGACAAAGTCCGCTCCATACCTTCTACTCAGGTCTCATGAAGCCGACTCCTCCTGCGGATGAAGGAAGGAAAATGGCTAGTATATTACGCATGGATCTGAGTATTCACTGGAACCAGTTCCAAATCTAAGAGTAGATGGATGTCAAATGCAGTTCCCACAACAAACAAGTTTGACATGCAGACTCAATCCTGCCACTTTTCTTCCCCCTTTAAAGAAAGCAGAGCCAATACTTCTTTTTTTCTCTGAAGGGCCCTCAGCAGCCAGAGAAGGGAGAACGATTGAATTATTTGCCATGTTATATCCACCTCTCTAAGAACGCTCTACGAACATAGATACTGTGTACAACTATTACCCAAAATGAAAGGAATCCACAAAAAAATTCCCACTTATTACACCCTTATTTATAAATGGGCCAAATACTTTACGCAAACTTAGTTATGCCATAAAACTGGGTATCATGTATTATTTCCTGTATTAAATGCAGATACTAAAGAAAGCTATTTCAAGGTTGTTTAATCATGTAATTTTATTCAAACTGTATTAAATTATGTATTTAATATGTATACTGTACTATTTCACAACTCTATTTTGAAGACCCAAAGAGGAGTTAGTTATCCAGAACACATAATATACAATACTGGAAGCAACAAATATAGCAACATGTTTGACAAAAGCCCCTTCGGGCAAGTTGCATACATGTAAGCAGATTGCTGCAGATTGGATTTGACTCTCAACCAAGCTTGCAAGATGACAGAGAATTAACCTTTAAACCTACCTTCTTACCTAAAGAAGCCTTCGTGCAAGGCTACATTTATTTCTTACTCAAGGACACCCTAAATATGTCCTTGTACTGTCATCTATTATGTAAGTACAAACTGTTTAAAATGTAATTATTGTTAAGTAATACTTGTAAATAAGAGTTCTCAACTTATTCATATGAGTGCATGTAAAATGTTCATAAATACACTGCAACCACCTCTGCTGTTACATTTTCCACATCAAATACTTATTATAAATACTTTCTATAAATATATCTACAGTGGGAAGTACTTATCAAAAATATATTTTATACAACATTAACTTTCCTCAGATTAACATGAACATTTATTTTAAAAAAAGTTTGTCCTTTATATCTAAAGTAATTTTCATCCGACAAAGAAAATAACCATTGTAACTATTCATGTGCAGACTGTTTCTTTGGAAACATAAAATAAAGAATGTTTAAAGTTGTGTTGCAATTTGAAGATGAAGATGAATCCAGTAAGTTTCTCAAGCAGTATACATTCTTTACTTGTAAATTTAGGATTACACTTTAAAGAAGGATTAACATTCAATCAATGTTAAGGAGATCAGAAACCATAGATAACATACAAGTCGCATGTACATCTCCAGTAGAAAGCCATACACTTTATTTTTTACATCAAAAATTTCACCAACCAACCAGATTTTTGTAAGTGGAATTATCAGTCACATCATATTATAACTAAAGTTTAAAACAAAGTCACAATGAACGAAACTTTTCTAAGGAGTAGGGGAGACATTTCAGATATGGTTTACTTAATTCAAGCAAAATACGTATTTGATAAAAATGGAACTTCTCCAATAGCATTTGAAAATACTTACAGACACTCATACTTGAATATTAAAAGTCTACATGACCGATACATTTAAGGCTATTAACTCTTGTTTAATAAATTAGAAATATGAATATATTAAAGTGTATGGCTTTAAACTAATAACAGAATCTTCCAAAATGCCCCTTTACAAAAATCTGACAATAACTGAAGTTTGGGATGAAATAAAAAGCAGCCAGCTTCCTTAATGTAATGTCAATAAACTATATTCTTGTTTGTTTACATCCTTCCTACTTTTAAGTTTGGGTGCCATCTCTCTTTTGCACTGAACTGAAAAAATTATTTCTCTTATTTCACGAGTATAGAGCCTACCACAATAAAAAGAAAGTTTTTAGACCTGAAGCCTTCTACAAAGATAATCTACTGAGATGGTCCATACAAGTGACTGTAGAAAAGGTATGCTGGCAGAAAGAGGTCTCTGGTCCCTTATTATGACTCGATTTCCAGACTTCCATCTTAACAATTCATGAAGAAAATCAGCCTAGATCAATTTCAAGTTTCAGAGAAACAAGTCTTGAAAATACTCATCAAACTCCTCCTCCCTGTAAAAAAAAAAAAAAAAAGAAGTCAAAGAAAGTTCTGCTTTGGATCTGTATCTAGGAGATAATCTTCATATGAAAAAGATTCAGCAGACTTCTGATTAGAATTTGTAGCTGGTATAGACCATTTTGACTTACTCAATACTTTCCAATACCCTCCACATTTCCCCTTATGTGCAACAGCAGTGAGTTGACTTAGGATTTACTTCTAAGATAGTTAATGGTATGGTAGGGGGTAAGACAGCAGTGGCACAGTAGTGGCTTGACAAAGGTTTCCCCTCCAGTGTCGTGTATATCTCCTCTTTAAAAGAAACATTCTTACGTTCACTACATGGAAGGGGATCTGACATAATTTTAAATGTCAGAACATTCATTAAAACACTCAGGAAAAAACCTCTGCCTTTTCAGTTCTGAATGGACACAGTATGTTTTACTAGCTACAAGTTCACTAGATCAAACTGACCGTGATTTTTCATCTGCTTCTTGTAGAGCACCTTTCCAAAAGTCAGCATCTGAAGGACCATCTTGTGCATCGCTGTTATCTGAATTTGTTAAAAAATTTAAAGTGCTTATGAAATAAATTTTAAAATAATTTATCTTTTTTTTTCTTTAGATGGTATAATGCTAGGAGCAACGTTTAATTGTAACCATGAGAATAAAAAGAATACTTTACTCTGCGTAAGTAAAAATGAAAACATTTTCCAATATTATTCAATACAGCATCAAAAAGACTTAGATATCATGAACTAATATTTTGGCCAAACATAACAACAATCATGTCAAAACACTGATCTTGACACAACAGCAGCATAGCACTTTGCTCCTAAAATTAAGGGTTTATAATCACAAACCCAGAATTACAATACAGTTTCAACTCATGATATTAAATGAATCAATTACTTTACTTCTCCTTGAATGACAACTTTTATCAATTGTAACTTATCAGTGAAATTGTCAGAAAACATGGATTACTGCATAACTGTTTTCTGTAAGTATACAGAAGGAGTGAAAACCCAAAAAAAAAATCTCGTTATCAGAAATATGCCCTGACCTAAAACACCCCCAATCTTCCAATAGAGCTTTCCTGACAAAACAGAGACTTAGGGCATGGTCTATGTCGTAAGTAAACCGCTTCAGGTCTTCCTGTATCCAGCTGGGAAAATGTAGGTGCGGAGGACATTCCTAAAAATGTATAGCACAGCAGAGCGATCAGTAGAAACACTTAATCCCTTCTAGACAGTCTGCAGCAAGAATTGGCATGACCAGGAGATGGGGCTTGTTTCATCAAAAAAGAAACTGGGGACTGGAATTACTGAGACGCAGAGACAACCAGTGTCTAAAGAGTCACTGAGTGCCTCCACCCGCAACAAGCAGGTCTCTGAGGTACTACAGGTGGTAGCTGGAAAAGACTTTAGTTAAAGCCTAGGATTTATTTAAAATCTAGTAATTTTTTGAGTACAGTACATATTTGTATAATTCCCTGAAAAGAAATGTAGTAGTTACTATATCGGAAAAGTACTTTCTTTACCCAGCACACATTACACAGCACCTATTTGCATACCTGGACCCATGCAATTATGAACAATGTACCTATTTTTGCACCCTCTACTCTTTTCTGGAACAACGTGACCTCTCATTTTTCTGATTATTTCCATTCTGTTATCTGCCCGCATTTTTATTCCTTACTTAAACTTAAAAGATTACCTTCTTAAAATTCCTTACAGTTTTTCTCCAAGAATTTGTAAGTAATTGTTTTGATCTTTCAGATCTCTGCTTGTTTTCACGCAGCATTCTTATCATCTTATAAAATATTAAAACTGCCAGCGAATAAAACTAAGACCAATGACAAATGACCATGAAATAATACAACTTATTACAAAAACATAAAATGCAGAAGATATTCAAATACTTTACCTTTATCAGAATTATCTGAATCTTCTGAAGAAACCTGATCTGGAAATAAACACCATTTAAAAAATAGTAAGCGTATCTTAAGTTTTATTCATTATCTTAAATTGTTTACAAGGATATTTCTATCACAATATATTACACATAAACATGTGCACATGCACGCACACACCATACGTTCAAAGAAAGCAAGCAAACACTAAAGTTAAAAGATTTTTTTTGCATGAGTTCAAAGGTCATCAGTTTGAGCTCAAATACGTTATCCCAAGATCTGTGGTGTAAAAAGGTTATCTAACATTTCCAAAAGACTTTCAACCCCAAAGCCTCAAGGAATTAAATACTTCACAACCCTTTCTGGTATGCAATGTCCAATTCTTGGACAAATTTTCCTTGCAATGCATATTTTCTAAAAGGCTTTCCCTCTCTGTAAAATATAAGAAATATTTTTTTTTTCCTCCAAATTTATCTTTTTTGTGCACCTAGGAAATTTTACCTAAGAAATGTATCTTTTTGACTACCTGTGTTACAAAGTCAAGAAAGTTACATATCTATATTTATACATAATTATACATCTATATCTCTACATATGTAGCTACAGCAAAACTAAGATTCAACTAATGTATTTGAATATTTTAAAAATTGAAGGTCTAAAATTTAAATTTACCTTTATGGGTCTTTTTTTTTGACTTTTTTTCTGAACAAGATAATTTTGTCTTCTTAACTTTTGGCTCATTGGAGTTCGGTACAGCTGTGCCTCTTTTCTTGTGTGCTTTGACTTCTTTCCTCCTTTGAAAAAAATGAACGTACACCTCTATTATATGTACTCCTCAAGCAACAGTAAATCTTAAGTATTTAATTCAGTCAAACAGTTTCATTTTTTCGGAAACCTACCACTAGTTAAACTCAAAATTAATTTAGTTAAAATGAAAAGTGCTATAGAAACACTAGAGCTCTATAGCTAAAGACAAAGGACAGGAAATGCTAAAGCTGCTAAAATGACACTGATGCAGGCAACAAAACCAGTGAATTGGAAATCAAAGATTAAATACAGAAAATAATTTTATAACATGCCAAATTCTTATTTATATTGAAATCTTATTTTTTCTTTTAGCAAACGATTTTGTATATATGTAATGAGAAAAACACAGTTAATACTGGTTTTTAAATATATTTTTGTATTTGATAGCGGCAAAACCTGAGGTAGAAGAATCTCAAGCCTAAGAACCTGCTGCAGACCAACAACCCATGTATTTTATTTTCAGCATTACTTATATAGGCTTATTGTATGAACATAGGCTAACTTTTTCCTGCTTCTTTGCACAAAGTTGTTACTAAAATTGTTTCAAAATAAGTATTACTCTGCAGTTGACAAAGAGAATATGTTTGACCGTGCTTATTCTGAATTCAAGTGGTTTTACAATTTTAGTTCCAAAAAGAAGCAAGACAAATAAAACTAAACTGTTGGTTAATTCTCCTTCTTAATATGTGCCCACAATAGTGCTTTAATGAAATTGAATATGAATTAACTTTTAAAATGGATTAATTAACTATCATGCATAGATCCATCTAGATGCACCTTTGATTTGCGTTACTTTAAAAAAGAAATCATTTCCTAGCTCAAAGGTTTCCCTTCCATATGCTTTTCAGCATACGGCTTAATTACTGAGCCATGCAACTAAGTTAATGCCACATCGAGATTCAGAAAATCATAAAAACTGAGCATCAATAGTTGTGGAATTCAGTAAGATAATAGATAATAATAAAAATCAAATAAAATCTTAACACACACACATTTTACGGGTTTAAAATTCACTGTTTTTCTCTCCTATTAATAAGTGATTCTCAAAGAAGAACAAATACTCAAATTCAAAATTTCAAAGCACAGTCACTTGACTCACGCACAAAACCACTATTTCTAAGAAAAGGAAAAGCAATCCATCTCTTAAACACAGCAAGAGGGAAACTAAAAAAGACAGTGTTTTGCATAAACTTTCAGAAAAGAAAAATAATCACTGGGCTGAAATTAAGCAAAGGAAACTTTCGTGGGGGTGGGGATGGGATTCTTCCAGTTTGAGGGGGTTTGTACTTTCCTTAGCACAACAATATCTAACTCTCAACAGTGTCAAACCAGTGACTTTATAAGAACTCCAGAACAGAATCTATTTCAGCATAAATGAAGTTCCTAATCATCTAGCTGAAGTCCTCCCCAACAAGTTTGTTGTTCACCATAACTGTAATCTATCAATAATTCAGCCCCCATATTTTAAAAATATTTCATTACCGGTGATGAAAGTTTAGTTTGTAGGAACATTCTGGACATAGTCCTGAAAAAGAGAGAATGAGAATATTACACCCATTTTATTTGATAAGCATAACTAACAAAACTTATTAATACATATATGAAACTAGATAGAACATTATCTTCCAATTTCAGTAGCTTTTCCTTCAAAACAAAAGTGACAGTGCAATTGCACCCAGGGTTGAGAAAAATACCATGATATAGATCTTCAGTACAAGCCCAGATTTTACTAAACCTGGAGAAAGATCACAGGTTTAGCACTGGCAACTCTTCATAAAAAGGTATCAGTGCTTACCATGTACAGATATCCCATTTTATGGATCTTTGTGGACAGATCAAATTGTTCTACAATTACACTGAAGACCCATAAGTCTCTTAGAGCTTTACCAGAGACCAAGTGCTGCCACATGGAGCATCTTGTGCACAAAATAAAAAAACACCATTAGCTTGTTTTACACAAAGTAACTGTGTAAACTGTGGTAAGTTTAATTATCTGATGAACATATCCAAATGTACACCATATTGAATAAGAGAATCCCACTCAAGAGACAAGACTGGAAAAGGAAGGGATTTAATTAAAGTTAGAATTTTTGGAAGAAAACGTAAGTATTAAAAATAAAATTAGTAGAGCTGAAGGTGTGCAAGAAGTTGTCTGGTCCAAAGCCCTATGGATTCCTAAGCCACGTAATTGATTAAGCAATGACAATGATGAAACCTTCCTTTCAATGCAGTATCGTCCGTTAAAACCAGACATGCTTGTATACAAAACAGCTTATAATCAGTTATTCTGATTTTATGACACCACCAATTATACAGCATGAAGTGCTCAACCTGTAACAACTTTGTCATATATAATGATAATAGCCATTCTCTCTAAATCAAGACCATCATACTACCTGTAATTAATTTAACAAAATTATCTCCTATTCAGCATTTTCCACTTTGCATGAACTAATATCATTATCATTGGGTCTCACTCGATAGCTTTTAAAGCACAAGATATTTGTCTCCTTTTAAGTGTACATATCCTTGAAGGGCTGACTTACTCAATTTCACAAGTGCATTCCTCTTTTCACCATGTTCAACGTAACCAAAATTCACCTCCCAGCTCTTCAGGCCTTCTTTCTCATCACAGTGCTTATTTCCACAGGAAAACTGACCTTTAAAGAGGTCAAAAACAGCAAACCGTGGTTCAATGATTATCAAGCATAGGTTTGGGGTTGTTATGTCCGGTTTTGCTCAGTTTTTGCTTTTTCTTTTCCATTTCTTTCAAATAAAAAAGCCCAAATCTAAAAGTAACATCTAGATTAAGAAAACAATAACAGATAATGACAAAGCAATCAATCATACTTGTCTAATATTGCATATCTGCAGAGAAAGAACATAACTTCAACTGTGTTTTACAATGTATAGATGAAGGCATATGTTATGAAATAATAAGCCTAATACCGAACTCTGAAGAAATGAATGTCACTAGGATACGTTCTAGATCTTAAATGATTACTTACTTAGCAGAGGCTGATGGATCAGAAGGTGTGATTCAGACATTCATCTTTAATGACATCAAGCTATTCAAAGTATCATGTATGTACAAAATTAAGATGCCCACGTTCTTATTACCTTACTAGTTTACCTGATATACTGGACATACGATTTGTAATTTCTTATGACTTTCCATAAACACTTTACTTTTATTTTACGAAAAAGAAATCCAATTCTATGAGAAACTATACGGCAGCTTTAAAAGCTTCCTGGGGTTTATGATTTTAAATACAACACTAATTTTAAAACAGTTTGCACATAATCAATGTTGTTTACACCCCTGGGTTCCCAATATTGCAATAATAAAGATACATATATTCCTTTTGCAGAAGACTGATTTGTATGCAGAGCTGGCAGTAAGGATGTGTATTAATAGGCTCACAAGCAGGACTGTTGGTGAACTATTAACCTCAGAACATTCTGCTTAAGCTGCTAACTAAAGGATTGGCAGTGTTCTCAGGTACTTCAGTTCTGCAATGTAAAACCACTTGCAATGCTAACACTTGAACCAAAAAAAACCCCAGTACTCCCATTAATAAAAAAGTTTCAAATTAATATACATTAAATATGTTTAACTCTATGTAAGGTATGGCTATCAGTACCCTGTGTCATCAGGAATAATTTATATCCATCATAAAGAAGTAAAAATCTACAAGGAAAGATTTATACCACATAAAACTTTTTGGAACTTAACCAGACTCTGTTTACTTCACATCTTCTGAAAAAAATGCCAAAACAAACCCAGAAAAACAGGCAGAGATAAAAAAGAGAGATACATCAGTTTTATTTATGATCAGCTGCTCTTTACAGAATGTAAAATCTATTTTGGATATTCTACATTTTGGATGTGAAGCTGGATACGTTCACAACATAGTTGGAACAATATCGTCAGATTGCTAAGGCAAGCAATGAATCCTTAGGTAAACCAGAACTTGACTGTGTAAACCACCATAATTCTGTGCCCTTACACATTTACTTGCATTTATGATCATCTAAATATTTGAAATCACGGTGGGTTTTTTTTTTAGCAGATCCAAGCTCCACGCCATATATGTGTATAAACAGCGAGGCTTCTCTTACCCTCCTTTCACACTGTCATCCCTACAACACATATTCAAACCTTGACTTGAATACAGAATTCCACTCTTTCTGAAGGCTTTTTCAGTAGTATTTATCACTCTAGTATATCTGAATGTCATAAAAGCATTAAAAACATATTTTTGCAAAGTAAGAGATCATTATAATCCCCATCGTGTATATGGAGAACCCAAATCAAAAGGAAATATGGATCAGATTATTCAGTACTTGAAACATGACTTTTCCCACAGTTAGATGTCCGAGAAAGGAAGACACAGAAAGCACTTGTGCCGAGTGGACAGTTACCTAATTTAATCAGCAAGAAAAATGTATGCCCAAAATTCCATTTCCATCTGAAGTTTTGCCACCTTGCTATGAGCTCCAGGGAAGTTATTGCCTTCATGTTCAGAATTATAACTCCTATAATCTGGCTGTTAAATGTGTGCTTTCAAAAACTATTAGCACCTTCTGCTTCTTGCAGAAAGGCAGAACAGGTGGAAAATAGAAGTACTAGAGGCTAAATGAAGTACTGAAAATTAAATATACTAAGGAAATCTAGAGAGCCAAAACACTGATTTTAATGCATTTTGATCAGAACTCAGATGTACCAGATTGGTACACGGATACATGGTGCGCTATCCAGGTATTGATACCCTGCCTATTTTCCATGGGGGAAATTACTGAGAAAAAATAAATGGAAACATGTTTGGAAGAATATTTATTTAAATAAGGTAAAGCATATTATATGTGTATTTACACATATATAAAATAGGCTAGGAAAGACACTACTATGCTAAAAGTGAAATGTTAGTTCAATGAAATAGTGAAAAATTGAGAGTAGATCAATTTGCAGGTATTAAACCCTATTTTGCCAAATAGTATGTCTGGTTTGAGTATTTTACTACTTAATCTACAAATATGAATAAGTAGAAAACAGCAAATATACCCACATGTTCAGCTTTGCTCTTTCTGCATATTGCTGAAAAAGTCCTATTTCACCTCTACCCAATGAATTTGTTACCTATTTTCCTACAGAAAGCTTTTACCACTATCACCTTTTGCCTGAAATACCTTTTATTTTGAAATTTTATGTCATACCTTACTATTCATGCTTTGAAAGTGGAGAAAAAGTACTTGGGAAGGCATGTCAAATATATTTTTTAAATAGCTTAAAAGCTTTTCATTTTAAGGATTTATTTTCAGACCAACTCACTTATGTGCCTACTATTCACTGATTTATAAAATTTAAAGTAGGGTTTCTACCTTAAGATTTTAATTAAGAAAATGCCCATTTTGTGGAACCGTTTATTGAAACTGGCAACGTTATTACGCCATTAACTGCCATTAAGGTTACATTTTAAATTTAAGGAGATACAACAGCAATCTCCAATATGATCTCCTTTCAAAACACCTATGGCAAAGATTAGAGTGGGAAAGAAAAGAAGAGAAAGAAATAATCTGGCATTTACAATTAGTAATACAAGTGATACCTCTCCTTTCACTCATCCTAACCCTTCTTCTTCTCCATGACCTTACAAAGACAGACGTCGAAAACAAAGCAACCAAATGTGAGTAACCCATTCCTATGTTCCCTTCTTAACATACCCCAAACCACAGTACAGTCCAACCAGTGGGTGTCATCACCACTATTATCGTCACAGCTAAAATAAGCACATGATCTCTCTTTTTTAATGTGAATTATCAGACAGGTAGGTATTAATGCTTTATTACATTTAATTAAAGCAATTTATATCACTGATGCATACTTAAAAAAAGCAAAAGAAAGGCATTAGAGATTCACGCCTTTTTTTAAACAATCATTTGAAACTGCTCTTGAAAAGAGCATCTAATACATGAGATAAGGTTGAATTCTTGCGCCCCTTAGTGGTGAAAGATACTATTTCTCAATTCTTACATTCCGGTTGTACGCTTTCCATTAGGATTTCATTAAAAAGCTTAAAACGTGTAATTCTGCACTTTCTCCCACATTTTTAAATATGGCATAACAGATGTTAAAAGTACAATGCAGCTTTAAATTCTTTTTCCCCACGAAGACATAGTTGTTCATAAATTACTCATTTCTCATTTAATTTTAATTATCTTTTTAAACCATTCGATAAAGCATATAACTATATCAAATGTAACTATCTTAATATAATCTGTAGTGCTGAATGCAACATATGACTACAACTACCTTTAGGAGCTTTAATCTTTATAGCTTAAAAAACCACACTATTAATGTTCACACCTCCTCCTGTGAAATATGGTAATTTTTTTTTTTTTAAAAGTGCATTTCTAACTTCTTGTCATATTATAGTAGAGCTGTTTACAGAACTGTTCTGATCAACAGTATCACTCCATGCAATTTTCTTGCGTGTGCATGCATGACTTCTGAAAACTGTACATGCGTATGAAGATCTACCCACAGAACAGCAACACATCCACATCATTTTCTTGCTTGTTCAGCTACTTGAAAAAGTCCACGCGCATAGGCTATGGAATGGGGACCACTGTGCAAAGTCCCAATAACACGTAGGTAAGAACTTGCATCAGAAGCACCCAGAATAAGCTACTGATTTAGAAACAGGATTGGGAGACGTGACAACCATTCCCACTGATTCCCACTGAAGCTTTCAAAACCAATTTTGCCTAAAACAGACATCACACATGGAACTTCTTAATTAAAAAGATAACATTTTGCAAAACAGCATTGGAGAAACCGTTCAGAAAATTATTTCCTGAGGAAAAGTATTGAGAGACTTCAGTTAAAGGTATCAAAGACTAATGAGGTAACATAGAACTACTGGTAAAAAGCAGCTAAAAAACATATCCATGAAATTCTACATTATCAAATGCATTATGTTGGTGTTCATTACAAATCTGACCTTGTGAAAATAAACCGTATGTTCTCTTAATTTTAATATATGCAGATCAGTGTGCACTCTAGAGCTACATGGCATAAAACAGCAAAGTTAGAAGTCAGGTCAACTTATTGTCCATTATTATCTGATAAACTTACCAGTATTGCCAAATAATGTCTAATAAAATTATGTCAAAAAGCAGCAAGAAAAGCATCAAGGAGAAACGTAATATAAAATGAAAGACAGCATTACCTTTTCCTGAAATTACTTCTTTCTCATGTCGCCATCTAAATCCAAACTGTTAAGACAAGAACCAAAATTAAGTTGTGAATAGTCAACGTATTCAGTAATGTAAAGACTAATTTCAGTTGATTGATGTCCTGCACGTGGTTCATCCATTCAATTCTGGTTAGTAAAATTTAATGTCTTTTTCTGTTAATTAAAAATATGTTGCTGCCTCTGTTCGCCACAAGGATTCCAATTTACACATGCAATTCAAATTCCAGTAGATGCTGTTCAGTACTGAACAGCAACTTTCTAAAAGGCTTCAGAGCAGGCAGAAAAACAAATAGGAAATGAGGATAGACTGACTTTACTAGATACTTCATTGCAATTTTGTTCACACTAAACGCTGAGAAGACCACTGGAATACTGAAGTCATATTAGCACATATCGATGGATCACCTCTGTCTTGGTTTTGGCAGGGATAGAGTTAATTTCCTTCCTAGTAGCTGGTACAGTGCTGTGTTTTGGATTTAGGATGAGAACAATGTTGATAACACACCAATGTTTTAGCTGTTGCTAAGTGGTGCTTACACTAGTCAAGGACTTTTCAGCTTCCCATGCTCTACCGACTGAGAAGGCTGGAGGTGCACAAGAAGCTGGGAGGGGGCACAGCCAGGACAGCTGACCCCAACTGGCCAAAGGGACATTCCATACCATGGGACGTCATGCTCAGTACGTAAAATGGGGAAAGCTGGCCGGGGGGGCCGCTGCTCAGGGACTGGCTGGGCATCGGTCGGCAGGTGGTGAGCAATTGCACTGTGCATCACTTGCTTTGTGTATTATTATTATATTATTATTATTTTATTTCAATTATTAAACAACTGTTTTTATCCCAACCCATGAGTTTTCTCACTTCTACTCTTCCAATTCTCTCCCCCATCCCACCGGGGGAGGGGGAGTGAGCGAGCGGCTGTGTGGTGCTCAGTTGCCGACTGAGGTTAAACCATGACAACCTCTTACACTCTAAAGACTAAGACAAAAAAAAACCCCGACACCAACAACTAAGTTGTATCTCTCTTTACATTGCCTAGAAACTTCACATGTAGATAACCCATCTATTATTTTTGTTTTCCAGTAGAATCTGTTTCATCCTCTCAAAATGGCAAGTAGCCTAGTGAAAAGACTGAAGATGCAAGGGAGTGAGAACAGCCTGGGAAAAACAATTTTATTTTCACTAACAAGTAGAAAGAGGCGATAAAACTCAGAGGCATACAGCTTCTCCAGAAAGGGCTATCTTGTATTTTTATTTAAAATTCATGAACCCAGGATGACAACAAAATTGCTGCTCTGTAAGCAAAGCACAGAAGACTCTGAACTTCATGGTAAAAGATGGGGAGGGAAGAGGGAGAAGAAGGGTTACAAAATCAAAGAGGTACAAAAACTGCTGCAAAGCCCATCTTGGCACCTGAATTCCAAAGCATCCTTTCAAATATGAACCTTCTCTCAGTGCACTCACAGACTGAACCCACGCAAATGTGCATTTTGTAGATGCAGTGGCATAAATTCTGTAATATACTGGATTGATTTTCAATGTTTTTAATCTAATTTTAAACACTGTACAGAAGTACAGGTATCTATTGCTGTGTGTGGTCTTTAATATTGCTCATTTTTTTAATAAACCATAATAATTCTTTATCTGAAGGGCACCAGCATGGAGTTCTCACGCATGAAGCGGTAATGTGGTTCAAAGAACATCAGAAAAAACAGGGAAACAAAAGTTTTGCCTTTTAAGAAAGTGTCATACTGTCATATAAATTCTCTGCACCTTAATAACAAAGCTGGAAAAACTGAGCAGAAAGACATCAGTAGTCAAATGTTTTGTTGGCACTGATTTTTCCCAAGTCAATATATTACATAGAAATTTTCATTGAAAACTAAAAATTTGTACACCAACAAAATATTTGCTTCTTTTAATCAGTCCACTAATTTTCAAATTGGTATTATAACATAAAAAATGTTTTCACACCTACTGGTTTCACTGGTAAAAAAAAATCACAAGAGAACATCAGGTTCTGCTATCATACTGTGTATGATGACAGTTTGCTAAGGCTGGATCAGGTTATGCTTGGCCTACTCTACAAATCTGCAGTGTGGTCTAAAGTACCATTATACCACTCACGCTTCAGGCAAACAAAAATTAATCAATTGTAAAAACCAAGAACTGTACTGAACAGTTCAGTGAAAACAGAATGTAAAATACATCTGTAAATGTAGAATTCATGATGGAAACCAGCTGATCCAAAGAGTGATGGTAATTGCTTTTGCTCTTTCAAAGGATATTTGATGTTTTACAGGGTATTCTAATTCTGAAAAGCTTGTGATGCAATTGAAAAATATTGCAACTTTACGATTAAATGTCAACAGTATTTTGGCACCAATTTTGCACGTGTGTGCTGCTGGCAATAAAGAGTAAAAAAAATTCGACCTTATCTGCATGTTTGCTTTTTCATACTTCATCTGCTACTTCACCAATCACCAAGTTATCCATGCTCACTTTTGCTACTGAAGTAGACTTTTACACAAATTTTCCCTCACAGTCCAAACTTGACTCAGTAAGATATAAATCAGATTATATCCTTACAGAGTATTTCTGTAATGATATCAAGAAAAATAAGCAAAATAAAAGAAAGGAGGGGAGCCAGAACCACCTGTAGTATATCTAGGACAAAAGCTGTCCTCATTCGCTTTCATTTTTGCCAATCACTCTTCCACCAATTAGTGGAAAATGACAGAGAGTGACCAAGGCTCTTTAAGAAGAAACATTAAATAAAAAAGTAAATACAATTGAACAATCTAACTAAGCTAAAATATCAGGAACAGATTAAACTATATAGGAATATTAACAATTCGGGTAGGTTCTTGAATAGTCAGCCTGCAATATTAAGGAATGCAAAAGCATCGTCAGCACACAGCATTTATTCTGCCTCATCTTCTCTGTTAAATGAGTTCAACAAGATACTAAATGAGCTATTTCTACAAGGTAGACCAAAACCAAGCAGAACAACTCCAAAATAGATGCTTTACAAGAGTATCAAATGGCTAACTTAATAAGAAATGATAGTTTTAAAAATGTGAAAGACCGTTTAATATCCATAAACAATAAAATCCCCAAATTCAATATGGGCTGCTTGTGTAATATGCATTGGCTGCAGCAACAACTAACGTGTCCACAGTCACCTCTTCCAGAAAAAAAGAAATGTATGAATTTAGACAACACTGTGGAAAAATACCATAGATATTTTAAATATTTTTATTTTCACAGGAAAGCCTCCATGCTGAAAAACAATGACAAAAGCGAACATATTAACATTACCAAGTGGAAGACAAGTTGGCCTAGAAATCTGAAAATGATCTGGAAGTAAAAACAAAAGAATAAAATGTATTCTGTTTAATGACCAGGTGTCAGACAGATTTCATTTCTTAGCAAATAGGAGACATTTCCAATCTGTTAAGCTACAAAACAAAGCAGAGAGACAGCAAATAAGAACCTTTCTAGGAAAATAAGACAACAAATAGAAAAGAACATTTCTAGTCCAATGCATATCAAAGTAAAACTTAGATGCAGAGCACTCTCCCTTACTGCATTGCAAAACTGACAATAGAACTAAATTATCTGACAATACAGATGCTCATTTATCAGCCTCAAAGCTTGCAGACAAGATGCACTGAAGGTTCAAAGACAACCTTGACCTAAAAAAGTCTGATCTAGGGAAAATATAAGGAGTAACAGACCCCTCACAAGCAAGAGCTGTCAGAGCACACTCTTCCAGTGTCTCTAAGTAGCCTCACACCAGAGGGTCACGTTGGCATTTCTCATTAAAAAGGAAGGAAAAGATTATATATCCTAACTACACAAAGAAAAGTGGGATCATGGGTCACAGGGTCCCATTTGCCTGCAGTGCCGGCAACCGTGGTGAGTGCAGGTGTGCAAATGAGTGTGTAAGCACCAGTTTAGCCATCAGCTAGGTGAAGTTGCCTGGGAGCAAGGAGGGTGAGTGGGTCTCCACTGGCCAGCTTTGGGTGTGACAGTACCTGTGTATCTCTAAGGATGAGAGCACAGGAGGGTCTGCTATGGGACCAGGGGAGTCTCAGCCATCTCTGTGTGTGTGTATGTGTGTATGCATGCACATATGCGAGTGAAACAGTCTGAACCAGCACCTGGAGTGGGGCTGTGGCCTCAGGCATTCATACGTCTTGGGGCTTCTTATGTTTTCTTTTGAGCTTCGGTCTTTGACAAGGTGCTCTGCTTATTTTTCGGACCTCAAGAGAGCCCCTCCCATGAAACTGGTCCTTATCATTATCCAGTACTTAGGAAAACAGTGTTTTTGCTCAGAAGAAAAGTTCTAAATGAGATCTGAGCTACCATCTCTATGCAGAGGTCTTTAGATTAATTAGCTGGCTAGAAGATTTTGGCTAGTAGCAAAACAACTACAGTTCTGAAAAGACAGATGAGTATGTATGTGCAAGTCTCAATCGATGCAATATATATATATTTTAAAAACATCACAGAAAACTGATCTCCAACTTTACTTTGACACCACCTAGCAGGAGACAGAATCATAGAATCACAGAACAGCCCAGGTTAGAAGGGACCATGAAAGATCATCTGGTCCAACCTTTCATGGGAAAGGGAGCCTAGACGAGATTACCTAGCACCCTGCCCAACCGCATTTTGAAAGCCTCCAGCGACGAGGACTCTACCATGTCACTGGGGAGGTTGTTCCAGTGCGTGATTGTTCTCACTGTAAAAAATTTTTTTCTTATATCAAGATGAAGTATCATCGTATAAAGTATCAATAACTATCATACGAAAGGTTGGCCAGCTGAGAAGCTTTTTACCCACCCTGCACCCCTCATAGCACCAGCACTGCAAAACAGAAGGCACGAGGGGCTAAAGATATCCAACTTCCAGCTTCTGGAAATGCAGAAAAAGAATCAAGGCAGGAAAAATCTGAAAGCACAGACTGCATTCCATTGGCATGAATGGGATCAGCAGCCTATTTCTTACTTCCAAGAAAAAAACCTGCTTTGACATCCTTCTGTACCAAACATGGGCATGGATAAATTAAAAATTGAGAAAAATCTCATTTTTTCTATTTTTCTAAGAATTTCTAAGAAAGGACTCTCACATGGTCAGAACATATTTGAGAACAGAAAGCACAACCTAATATAAGGGAACAAATTACATGATACAGCAGAGTTATGTTGACATGGCAATTCCAAAAATGTAGGTAATGACTTATGAGCATAAATAGGAATTCAGAGTGACCTCAAAGTTAGGACAGCCACATTTGAAGTCTGACAGGGAAACACTGTTCACACAACACACACCAAAAAAAAAAAAAAAAAAGGAAACTGGGGCAGAACAGTTTCCCACAAAAGATAGCAAACATATGGAAACTTGGCACAGTAGCGAAAGAAACAAAATCTGTAAGTATGCTCAAGGGAAAATCAGCTGGGGAGGCAGGGCGGAGATTGAGGGAGATGAAACAGGTACAGGAAAATAAAATCAAACTTATTAAAAAAAAAAAAAAAGAGGGAAGACATATCCAGCATTTTACTTTTTGTTAATTTTCATTTAATTTTTGCATTTTTCTGTTCCAATTTTCTTTAGAAGGCTGTCATCTTTTCTGCCTAATATTAGAGTTTAAGCCCAGTCCCTGCAAATATTTACCAGTTAATGTTATTTCTTTACTATAAATAGTCTCAAAGAACTTTATATAGACACTGTTTGCAGGGCTGGGTTGTTACTATGTGCTAACAACACTAAGATGCATCTGAGTTCAGCAACACTCTTTGCAAAATCACAACAGAAAATTCACGTATTCTTTTTGACTAAGAGGTTCGTCAGTCAAAAACTTGGAAACGACAAAGGCTGTTCCAGTTAAGAAGAAAAACTGGTGCTGGAATTGGACTGTTTCTCTTAAGAAATTCTATTTATTTACACGGAACATACAAATCCTGTTTCCATAAACAGAAAAGAACAACCAGAAAAGACGCTGCTTTAGAACAGACATTTCCAAAATTCTTTCTGCCAGCATTCAAGTACAAAACTCCCTCTTTATAGACTTTTTTTTTTTTTTAAACAGTAACATTCCCAGGGGTTTTTTAGGCTTCATCTAGTGCTTCTCTCCAGGCAAACCTCTCTAGCCTTCTCTCCTTAACCCCTCTGCATTTTCTGCCTTTCTTACACACAATGTACCTCTTCATAAAACACCATCTGACAGAAATGCTCCTATTCCCACAGAAGCACATTTTTGGGGCAGTGACAATGCTTGGATTCAAACTGCTGCTGCTTATTAAATAACTTGACAAGTTCTCACAACTCTCTTTCTAGGGAAGGGGTACTAACACTCTGGTTTCACAACATATCCACAATCATAAGGCAATTTTTTAAAAAGGACATACTTTAAAACCAAGATGATTTACAATAATGAAACATACCTTATTCTCTTTGTATCTACTGAGATCTGCTATACAGTATTCTTTGAACAATTTATCATAATACTTCTTTGCAAGCCTCTTCTCCCTACAACAAAAGGTATTATTTTTTATTAAATATAGAACATGATATAATTCCTTTTACATTGTAATGACATTAGCAAGACAAATACATGTAGTTTCATCCGAAGAACACAAGTTGCAGAGCTAGAAATGCAACAGAAATACACTCATTGGGCTAAGGGGTAATTTCCATGAAACTGGAAAAATACATCTAAAATATATCTACAGCACAAATTAGACTATATTTTTTCAAACTAGGCTTCCTTCAGAGTTTTCAGAACAGTCATTTGGATCTCAGAGAATGCACAAATATTTCTTAGTTCTTTCTGTCATCAATTCATTTTGTCACTGAGGAACATTACAATATGAAAGACCTCCTAAAGGTCTTTCATTTTTAAATGCATTAAAGATCAAAGAATGATCACTGAGTATGCACAGTAGTTCTTAATTAGTAGGGGACACCACAAATTTAGTACAAGTGATCTAAAAATAACATGTTCTACAATAGTTCCAGGTACCAATTCATGTCTGCTTCATCATCTTCGTTCCACAGGAATCTATGGTTTTCTCTAATAACATCAAGATCCGTCTTGTCATTTGCTCTATAAAAGGACACATTTTTTTTAGTACAATGTAACACTAAAATGAAAAGTCAGTCAAATAATAATTTGGTAAACATCAGTATTTCACAGTTGTGATCTCCACGTCACCGCATAAAGGAATATATTGCTATGGAATAAAACTATCAAAAAATGTATTCCCTGGCATACCTCTTCCCAAATGAAAAATCCACAGTGGAAAGTGGTCACTGAAACTGTGGATGACTTGATCCTGTCTGAAAATACTTTTTTATACTTTTTATTGAAGACATAACGTTAGAAGGCAGTTATAGATAGCTCTAAAGAAGGTTATAATTATTCTGGACAATGGATAGCAATTCTGCACATTTCAAAAGTATTTCAGATTGTTATTTTGAAGGTACTGCCAGATATTTCTCAATGTACCCTCAATTAATGCTCACCTGTCATCTTTCCTTTTACATAAGAAAACAAGAATAATTCAGCTCATGGTAAGTTCTTCTATAAAAATAATGGTGCAAAATGAAACAAGGCAATTCTGTGTTTTGGATATTTACAATGACTGTAGTTACTATTTGTGACCAAAAGAATTAGTAATTTGATACACAGCCACATCCCCCTCTCCCCCCAAAGCTATTTAACGGCTTTACGTAACAGGGGAGCTTTGGGGGCATGAGGGGAAAGATAGCTAACAATTCTTACCCAGAGCGACGGAAATCCTCTATTTTGCCACCATAGTATAAGATGTAGTCATTCACAAACTTCTTATGTCTTTCATACTGAATAAAGCAATTAAGGATTGTTTCAGAAGTTATCTTCTTTTATTTTACCATAGTTTAAAACTAAAAAAAATAATAAAAACTTTTTATATACTTAACAGAAAGAAGTTTTTTTCTCAAAAACAGTTCAGTAATTTCCAGAAAAAAAGGAATTAATTAGCAATTCTACTTAATAACCTCTCATAAAAGCTACTTTCCAAATACAGGAATTCAAGGCAATTTCATCTTTAAAACCTCATTCAGCTGCCAGACCTTTATACAATTGTCTTCCTTTATCAAAGATGCTCTGTATACATATACATAGAAACTGGGTTCAGTTTTTCAGCTATAATTTAGACAACAGCTTCTTAGTACTGCAGTTTTGTTTAAAACAGGTTTGTATTGGTGTATTATAAAAATAGTCTGGCTACTAAAATGGAACAATTTATTACATTTTACCATCAACATACAAATAAAAGTTATATGCTTTAGTTTGGAGATGAAAATCATGGGAAAATATATAATGCTGTTTTTAGAACACTTTGGCCTCAGAGACATGATTTGAAACACATTTTGTACCATAATTTGAGCAAAAATATGTACTTACTTATTCAGAAAATAAGCATCTTCACAAATAAAAACATTATATACGGCTACTTTAAAATATTTTCAGTTAACTTGTATGGTATTTCTGAAGCAGCAAATTAGGAAATACATTATCTCCTGGTACATATCCTGGCAACTACTGCATCAGTGTGAGTAATTTGTATCAACCTACTATTTTGACATGCATTAGAGTTTTACTGAGAAAACATTTTATTTTCCAGAGGCACCCAAAAAGTTAATTTAACCGAAGCATGTGTCTTCTTCTTTCCACCACAAATGGAAGGAACAGAGAAACAAGCCCAGAAGGTTTAACTGGCACAATTAAACACATTTAACACAACATACTATTTTGTGCTGCCATTTGAGTTACTAGGCGTTAAAATTGTGTAACAGTAAAGGTTTTAAATAGGAACCACCCAAAAACATTAGCAGAAACTCATAAAAGTCTCTACACAATGAGGTTTGTAGTCATTCCAGAATATACAGGCTTTTCTGTGGCTAATGACAGTCTACAAGGTCAGTGGGACTGATTAAGATATGTCCCCTTTACAGGCATACGATAGTTTATGTAGTGCCTGGCAAAACTCTAAGCAGGTTAGGAGAAGTTACTTTCTGTTTACTGGAGTTTCCAGATTTAAGTTAAGTCTTTCCATATTTAACTAGTCCTTACTTTCCTATTTATTAACTGTTACTGCTGAAGAACAGCTATTTAAACAAACAAGGAACTGATGGTATTTCAGATACACTCAGTGAAACATGTAATGACTGCCCCAGGTGAACTAAATAAGAGAAAGGTTGTAACCTAAATAAGGTAGTAGTTATAAAAATAGTTAAAAATTACGCATGAAATATGATTAAGAGATTAAAAAAAAACCCTAAAATAAAACTGCACGTGATAGTAAACAGGCTTACAATAGAGCATCTGTAGAAGATATTACTGGAGATAAGGCTGTTTTGAATAAACCTTTGAATTAACTAATGCATTCTTAAATTTCCAGTAGAAATGTATTTGTCCACAGATAATAGCAGCCTTATATAAAATTACGTTCTGTTTAAATTCAACTGAAAGAGCGAAGTGTCTTTGTGCCAGTCTAAATAAAATTCACTGTATAATGATTTTGTCCCAAACAGGACAAATGTACATATAGGAAGAATCTGGAAATGCCTCTACTGAGTAGAGGCATTCTCAGAGACATCTCAGCCACAAAAAGAAGCTAATTTGAAGATACTGAGTCGTTCTGGTCCTGCACTGTCAACTGCTGTGAAACTATGAAATTGCAGTATTTCACCATAATGGATAACCTGTGCTCCATCTTCTCACTTGAAGAAAAATTAAACAGAAGGATACGGCATCCATCGCTATCAAGTGAAATCGTCTTTTTCTTGCTTCTTCCCTGTTAATAACAAATACGTTTGAGTGAAAGCTATCTTTATGTTACAGGTAAAATGCCTCACAAAAACAATAGATAAAAGATACCTATCCCATTCTTCAGCTGCGAATTGTCTGTGAACCACACTGCCTTGTTTTGCTTTTTGGAATGGCTTTATCAGAAGGCCATCTTCCTTTATACTAAAGGTAGGGGGGAAAAAGGAAGAAAAGTTAGTCGAGAACCTTTCACAAGCAATAAAATTTCCATCTGCCAAACACTGCACTAACTTGAGTAACAAAAACTGTTATATTGCTAGTTTCTACATGAATAAAACCCAACTTCAGAATCAACATCAGCTTAGACTTTACTTCATTTGCAGAACAAAATCAGAAAGGCATTTGGTTACAGTTAGCATTTAAAGAAAATTGCTTAAAACAGCAATTTGTAATATTTATTACCAATGTTATCACTACAGAACCACAATGAAAAAACCCTGAAGATTCCTCAGTTTCACTCCTCATTTAAAGCCCTCTATAAATCTCAGCTACACAGCCAAGCAGGAACAGGAAGGACGGTATGTTCACTGAATAACAGTGACTGCTAGTAACCCTATCCCATCCTTTCATGCTAATGTCTGAACACCTCATTAAACAGCTCTGCCTCTCAGTGTAATCACAAGAATCGCTAATTTAAAACTTAAGTACCGTGTTGTGAACCACAGTTGTCAGTGAGCTGCTAAAAATACCTTCAGAATTCAACAAAGTAATAAAAGGTTAAATATAAAGTGATGCACTTTAGCTAGTAAAAGGTATATTTAGTTAGTTTCATTCCTCAATAGAGGTGAAGAAAAGATTTTTCCATAATTATCAGCTGGCAGAAAGAATGGAAGTCAGAAACCTGTAGAAAGCAAGCCAGGGAATTTATATTTCAAGCTATGGAATATAGGACTCTAGAAACTAAGGGTATCATTTGCTCAAAAGGATCTGTAGGCACAAAATTCTCATAAGGAGACTCCATAAAACAGCAATATGGAGAAAACTTAAGACTACTATTTTCCTTAAAGTGAAAATAAATATCATCATAGAGCAAGAAAAGGATACACACACATACAGTGAACCCACATAAGAACCCTACTGGGAATCAGCAGTAGTATGCCAAAACAAGGGTAATGATGGTATTTTTCAAAGGCTCCTGATGGTTAGTTAATATTCCACCTAGAAAGTGGAATGGTATGATGTGTAATGGCCTTTTAAAGAAAACAAAAACTGAACAAAACCAGTCACTCTTTTAACGGAGAACAGCTATATTTATAAAATAAATGGAACGGCACAATGCCTGCTATTATTCCAACAATTAAAACATGAAATTTTTTTCCCAGAATGCAGTCAGACACTACAAAACCCATTCTTTCAATTTTACTACAAAGGAAAATATGTAAGAGTCCTAGGAAAGTTTCCAGAAAGCCTTCTTAAATAAAGTCCAATAACAGAGCAAGGGAGAGACAGGAAAAGGTGAGAAAAATATATGCGTAATGGAGGCAAAATGTTCAGTACGGTGCAGAAAGTGTCAAAGGACTATGGTGCCAAAGCAAATAAATACATAAATATATAAAATCTTAATAATGTAATGAGATCAGACTACAAAATTCAAGGTCACTAATTGTGTGAACCACTGAAAGAATTGGCAAAGGTGATCTCAAATAAGAGATGTGTAGTTACATTTCAAGGGTTGAGTACAACACAATTCACCAATTCCCAGGTCTCTTCACAAATTAAATAATAAGCAAGTAGCATCAGTTCTTCACTTCCTCCGAGCAGGTCTTTTATATCTACAAAGCCTACTGCCACTTGGCCTTTTTTGCCTTGCTCTCTTAGCAGTTCCACGTGTCCTGATGGATTACAGTGAAGTGAACAGCACAGCCAAACCCCAGCAGTTGATACTAATGCTCAGAAAAATGAAACACTCTGCTCCGAGAACTGAGTGGCATATAGACACCAGATGGACATGGCAGAACGGATCTTAATCAGCTGCCCCTGGGAGACGACATGCTTTGGCAAGGTTGACATGAGGAGATGCAGGAATCAAAGAGATTGATTTTTCAAAAACCATTTCAGCACCAGACTTTAAATACCACAGCATAATCTTCTATACACAGTAATAGGCCATTTGCACAAAATACATAATGCAAAGTGTTAATTCTGTACTACATTACCTTTTAGTCTTTTGCACAGACTTCTCTCCATTCTCCTCATCACTAAAATCAGAATCATAGCCTCCATGGCCACGTGCCTGAAAATGATAGACAACACAGTCAATATACCTGTTACATACATGCTAATATAATATGGACACAGCATAACTAGAAATCAGTCCTGTCCATCATGCATAAATAAAAGAGAGAAAGACAGAGAGCAAGTGAGCGAGTGCAAATTCTCATACATGTCTAAACCAAACCAAATTCAACAGACAATGCAGAGTATATTCCAAATAACACGGAGCAAAGAAAGACATCATCAGTCTGCTGGAAGATCACTTTATAAATAATTTATATGCAGATGTCCCCATATTTAATCTTCACATAGATGCAGATAACCAAAAGTATGACAAACACCTTTGGTCTTTACTTTCAAACAATTTCCCTTATATAAGAAAACAGTGAGTATTTTCCCCAGGAGCTACTCTTTCAGAGGGCTGGAAGACAGCAACTGATGAGCCCACATTATAAACAAACAAAGATGAAAACAAGTTTCTTAAACTGTGGTACAGCATTTTAGATCATTAGATCTTACATTGGTAGCTGGAAAGCTGATTGAAATGATAAGTAAAATACAAAATAACAATATGCCTGCAAAAATGTACCACCTAATCAGCACAACATTCCTACCATGAAATAAAATCTTTTTTTCCACACACTTCGGGTCTACAATGTCAAATTAACGCATATAAGAAAACCAAAATATCCCATATCTTAATGCCATCAAACGATCGAGCACTGACTGATGCCCAGATCTATCACCTCCATTTTTCAAGGCACGTGTCCAATTCTTTCAGCAGAAGTAATGGCTTAAGTAGATCCCATCTCCTTTCCCTCACTGCTACGCTGGTACCTTCCTTCCAGTTGCTCAGTTATAGCTGTGCAACTACACATGAATCGGATCAAACAACTCACCCAAGTTACAAAGGATCCTATCCAAAAAAGATTATTTTAACCCAGATAAGTTTCCTGACAGTTCATCCAGAGCCCCTCAATCAGCTACACCAGCTGGAGGGGTAGCACAGGAAGAGAACAGCCAGAGCTGGGAACTGCGTAAACTGGCACCGACACCAAAAAAGCATTTACACAACTGGAACATTTACACAACTGAGCTAAAAACAAGAGGGATGGTTATTACACATCTGCATGGGGAAAGGTTCAACACGTACTTCCCAAGTATCTTGGTAATTCAAACTGTGGATGAGAGAAGAAACTGCCAACAACAGCAAAAGTAATGTTTCCCAGATGAACACTGAGAGCTTCCTTCACACTCGAAAGGGGAGAAAGTCCAAGCCAACACAATGTGCATGAAAGTCAACATGCGACAGATGAAGAGAAAAGCTCGAATAAAAGGAGATTTTCCCAAAGTGGTTGCCCTTGGTTGATGAGCGCCAGGAAAGAAGTAGACATACTCAGTAATCATCTCCCAACTGATTCCAGGAATGACTCAGAAAAAAAAAAATATGCAAGAAAAGCTGCTCCAACAGAGTCGTACTGTAGGGCTCTCAGAAGTTGATGACTGCCTCTTGGAAAGCTGTGACTGTGAATGTAAGGGCAGGCATGGCTAAGGACTAGGTCCTGAGAGGCTGCTCTTCCCACAGGAAAACTCTTCACAACTTCAGCCATTCCTCTGAATCACTTCAATCACTCAAAGATAAGTTCAGAGTGAAAAAGAACACAACCCACGACTGGTGCCCTGACACTTCTAGGTCACCCCCTCTTCAAGGGCAACAGCAGGATGGACAGGTACTGCACCAAAGTTGGGTTTGACATCAGCAGCTCCAGCAGTGCCGGATGGCACTCTTGGAGACTGGGACTGAACAATTACTGGCCTGATGCCTTAGGATGATACCAAGATAACCTGACTTTTAGGTAAAACATAAAAATGAACTTCATCAAAGAATCTCATCCATAAATTAATCCTTCCGTTTTGGAAGGACAGTGTAAACAGACACCTGCTTAACGTTGTGAAATTTCAAGACTGATTTCTCCCCTTCTCCACAAAAAAAGCCAAACAACAATCCCAGATAAGGAAAATGTATGTAATATTTAACTGTAGTAAAAGAGGGGCAGATACCAAAGCTTTGTGCCCAAGCTAGTAGATTTTAAAAGAGGCATATGTACACACGGACATGCAAAATTGTCAAGAAAATTTAAAATAACTACTTTCACTATTTGATAAACCCTTTAATCTAATCTTCACTTTGATGGAATTTGTCAGAAACTCAGAACGCTTTTAGTAAATTAGTAAGGTAAACACCAAACATTTTATCAAAACATGAACCTGGCAGCTACATAACTTAAATCGTACAGTGTGTTTTGTCTGTTGCACCAACTCTGAACTTTTTTTCCCCAAACAACGAAACAAACTGAAACCACAAAACTAAAACAAGTACCAATATGCTTTGGGATACATTTAAATCACTGACATTTAAGTAATCCCAACATCTTAGCTTAAATAATAGTGAAGTGATTGCAGACAGAACCAAGCCCACTAATTTAGGGCTCCTAAAAACCGGCAACTTAAACACAGTAAATGTATGAACACTGTACGCGACTGACAGCAGATAGAGGAGATGTCAACTGTTGATGTCAATACAGGACACTGTGGACTCCCCAGCACTGCATCTACAGGAGGTACGTGCATCCAGCATTCTTTAACCCTCTCCACTGGGGTAAATGCATACTACTGAAACGGACACATCATAGTTCTTGTTGACTCCTGATCACAACATACAGCTCAACAGAAAAAGACAATTAAAAAAAAAGGCAAAACAATCCTACACACAAAATCCCAACCCGTGGCCCCTGACCTCAGCCCTAATCTTGCTACTCCCCTCACAAGCGTCACTCCCTTCCTTCCCTTTATCTGCCCAGCACACAGGTCTGTGCTCAGCTCTGCTCACAGCCCGGATGTGGCCCAAAACAGACCCGAATGCTCATTTTGGTACAAACAAACTACTCTGGAAGAGTCTGAAGGGAGCACGGGATCTAGAACGGGGCTTGAGGAGCCGTCCTGGCTGGATAAAGGGTGCCATGCGGGGGGTCCGCACGCTTCACTGCAAAACGCTCCTCCCACCTTGATGCTGTCTTTGGGGCTCTGCAACCCCCACTTGGGGGGAAAAAACCTGAGAGTAAGTACAATTAGCTGCAAACCTACTCTTCCTTGTCAAACCAATTACGAGGGGTATGTGCATATACTGTACAGTGAACACCCCTTACAGAGAGAAAAGACACCAGCAAAATACTGCCCATTTATTAAAGCTCTAAAACTATAGAAGGACACGCAGGAGTAAAAGGTAGGCAACCGCAGACCACGACAGCGAGGATTAGAGCTTTGTGGGGCTCCACCGAGAAAAATCACCCCGCACCCCGGCCCCTGTGGGTCCGACACGACTTCCGAAGCCGTTCTCACGCCCCGAGAGCC